TTTTTTTTTTTTTGAGGTTGATTCAGGATTTGTTATTAGTTTACCAGTTTAGTTGTCTGGCCATGTAATTCTTTGTCTGTGTTTCAAATATCTTACTCTTTTTTAGTAATACAGATTTTTTTTTTTTTTTTTTGGTTGGTTGTGGAGCTTGAACTCTGGGCTTGGGCCCTGTCCTTGCACTCTTCAGCTCAAGGCCAGCACTCTACCGCTTAAGCCACAGTGACACTTCCGGTTTTCTAGTGGTTTATTGGAGATAAGAGCCTCATGGACTTAACTGTCTGGGCTGGCTTTGAACCGCAATCCTTAGATCTCAGCCTCCTGAGTAGCCAGGATTACAGGTGTGAGCCACTGGTACCCGGCCAGAATTTTTTTTGTATTCATTCTTTTTTTTTATTGTCAAGGTGATGTACAGAGGGGTTACAGTTACATAAGTAAGGTAGTGAGTACATTTCTTGAACTTGTTTTCCCCTCCCTCATTTTTCTCCCACTTTCCCTCCCAACCCAAGATGTAGAGATCATTTCCAACATATTGTCTTGTATCGCTGTTGCATTGGTTCCACCTTTGACCTTTGTCTCACCATTTTGTTGTTCCCCTTCCCTAATTCAGATAAATGTGATACAGAATTTTTAGCTCTTTCTTTCTTTTTTCCACTCTAGGTCCAGCAAGACTATGAATCTCTGTTCCAAATGCTTTGCTGGTAAGTGCAGAAAATGATTTTTTTAAAAAAGGACTTATTTTTCTTCTTTCTATTGTTTTTAACACTAAATTATTTGACCCTCTTTATATTTATGCAAGGAATTCTATTTTCGTGGCATGTAAAAGCAGTTTGTCTTCAAGGTTCTTCATGTATTTTCCTAGGACTGTTGAAAGAGTCTTCTCTGAGTGGAAGTTAAATTTCATGTGTATGTACTTGCACCAAATGCTTTCTTCAGTTTATTTTTGTTGGTATACAGAGGGATTATTAAAATGAGGCATTTCTAGGGGTGATACATATTCATCTCTTATCTGAGTTGAATGGTTAATGGTGAGTGTTGGCTTACCCATGAGAATACAACTGGAAGGATATATTCATGTTGGAATCAGGAGTAGCATCAACCCCTTCTTATCACATCTCTCATTAAAATCACTCAGTAAGTCACTTAATCTCTTTGGGCCTTAGATTCATCACATGTAAAATGACTGGCTGATTGGTGCTTGATATTTGCCAAAAGTCTTTACCAGCCCCCCAGATGCTGATTGACCCCTTGAATTAAGACTGCTTTGTTAGGGGCTGGGAAGTTGGCTCAGTGGTAGAGTGTTTGCCTCACATGCATGAGGCCCTGGGTTTGATTCCTCAGCACCACATAAGCAGAAAATTAAAGCCAGAAGTGGCACTGTGGCTCCAATGGTAGGGGCTAGCCTTGAGCTGAAAAGCTGAGGGACAGCGCCCAGGACCAGAGTTCAGTCCCACAACCGACCAAAATAAAAAAAGACTGCTTTGTGAAAGTGAAGCCTTCATTTTCAAAAAGCACTTTATTGTATGTACATATTTCATATAATAATCTAAATCTTTACTAATTAGGATATGTTTAATTTCCTTTTATTCATCTTGTCAAAGGCAGACAGAGTTATTAAAGTGATGAATTAAATTTTAATTCCTAATGTATTGGTATTATAGAGATGATTTTAATTAGTAATATATTGGCATGGTAGAGAAAAAAGTCTAACTGAACTCAACTTTGATTTTTACAGAGGTGATTGGGTCTTTTTTTTTTTTTTTTGTCATTGGGGCTTGAACTTGGGGCCTGGGTGCTGTCCCTCAGCTGTTCAGCTCAAGGCGAGTGCTTGACCACTTGAGCCACAGCACCACTTCCAGTTTTCTGAGTGGTTTATTGGAGATCAGAGTCTCTCGGACTTTCCTGCCCAGGCTGGCTTTGAACTGTGATCCTCCGATCTCAGCCTCCTGAGTAGCTAGTATTACAGGTGTGAGCCACACCTGGCAGGTGACTGGGTCTTTTAAAGGGAGAATAAGGGAATAGAAAGGGGACTGAAAAGAGTCAGAGGAGTGAAATAGTTACAAAAGGAAAAAAAATAGAAAGTGAGAAGCTACAGAGATAAGGCAATGATCAGAGGTAAGATATAGATCCTGGGATAAAGGGTTAAAATAGGACAAAATTCCCCTCTTTCTTAGTTACAATTTAAAGGAATGGCTTTCAGGTCCTTGAGAAAGATACTTCCAAGTTGTGGGGAAAACATGTATGTTTTGAAGGGAACAGAGGATGAATTAGAAATTGTTAGGGCTTTCAGTAAGTGTTATAAGAGAAGGGGTAGACCTAAGTGTTCTCTAGAACAAATATTAAGTTATTTTGACAGCCTTGAGTCTGAAGAGTAAGACATGTTGGAGTCATACTGTGGATTCAGTCTAGCTGTTAAAAAATAGGGTATTGCTTTTATTCTTTTTCTTTTAATGGATCAGAGGTTTTGAACTCAGGGCCTTGTGCTTGATTTGTTAGTTTGGCTGGTACTCTGCTGCCAGGTGAGCCAGCTCTGCAAATGAATGCTGATTATTTCAGAGACTTTTCTGCCTGGTCTAGCTTCTAATCACAATCTCTGGATATCAGCCTCCTAAGTAGGATTACAGGCATCAGCTACTGGCACCCAGCTTAAAGTAAACCTTGATTCTTGTTTTTTTTTTTTCTGTTTCCTTGTGAAAATTTCTGATACTTTTCCTGGTGGTAACCCCCTTGAACTTAATTTTTTGTCTACATTGAGGTGGTAAGTAAAAATACGTTATTTTCTGGCTACTATGTATAACTAATAAGTGTTCTTTACTGCTACAATTTTTTTAAATCACTTAAAAGCCTCCATGCTTGGTTGATTCTAACAATGGGAAATAGACCTAACTGTATGTTAACAATCTAGACTATTTTTAAACATTTCTTGATTTACTCTTAGACTGAATATTCGGTAGACAAAATATCCTTTTTTCTTCTCAAGGCTGGTGCTCTGCCACTTGAGCCACATTTCACTTCTAGTTTTTTGCTTGTTAACTGGAGATTAGAGTCTTTTGGATTTGTCTGTTAGGGCTGACTTCAAACCTTAGTCCTCAGATCTCAGCCTCCTGAGTAAATTGGATTACAGGCATGAGCCATCAGTGCCTGACTTGAGAAGGAAAAAAAAAATCTTTCATATACAATTTTTATTTCTCCTTCCTTCCTTCCTTCCTTCCTTCCTTCCTTCCTTCCTTCTCTCTCTCTCTCTCTTTTTTCCTTCCTTCCTTCCTTCTTTCTTTCTTTGAGCTTTTCAGCTCAAGGCTAGCCCTTTACTACTTGAACCACAGCACCACTTCCTGTTTAATTTGGAAGTCTCACGGCCTTTTCTGGCTCTGCTGGTTTAGAATCCATATCCTCTCAGCCTCCTGAGTAGCTAAGATTACAGGCGTAAGATTACAGGCTTACAACTTTGCATTTGAGACATATAAAAAACTTCTGATTTGGAGAAAAATAGGAACATAAGCAAGAAATGCCAAAAAGTGGGATACTTAGAAGTGAAAAAGTTAGTATTTGTGAGAAGAGATGTAAAGCATGCACATTTATGGCTCTAAAAATATAATTAGGTCCTCAAGTGAAGGTAATAGCTTTCGTAGCTGAGGTTTCTGCAGCCCTTTTTCCAAGTTCTTTTGTACAGTATCATCTCATTTGATCCTTACATCAGTGATTTTCTATCTCCATTTTACAGATAAGGAAATGGCACAACAGACCATTGTCATGATCCCAAGCTTTTAAGTCACTTTTAAAGTCAAGAACTGAGATTGATTTTAGGTGTTTAGATTTCCATCCTAACCTTCTCTATTATTTGATGTTAGTAGTAATGAAAGTGGTAGATTTAGATGGGATTGTAGTGAATTCAGATGAAGTATATTTAGATTGGATTGGGTGCAAGGATTGGGCAGTATCACTGCTTTGGTTGTAGTGTAGGAGTATTTGCTTTTTCTGTCTGATTCAGTTGCCGTTTGTCTCTAGATCTCCAGGGAACATCAGAGAAACAGTATAGAAAGTGGCACAGATTAGCTAATTTGGGATGAGGTGTGCATGTGTGATGGGAGTATTTTTGTCTAACGAATATTCTATTTTGGTGGTGAGATTTTCATTTCTTAACATCTTTCTTGTTCATATAACTTTTAGCTCATTAACCTTGCTCTCTGCACTGCATAGTGAAGCACAATTTCTAGTTTAGTCTCCTGTGTTTTGCTTTTCAGATTAAAAAAAAAATGCTTGAAAGTATGATTTAATTGCAGGTCTGTGCATTGTCAGTGGGAAGGCAAAGATGAGCTTGATATTTAGTGAGTGCAACCCGTAGGTTTAATTTGTTAAGCCATCTTGTTGGCATTCCTATGCTTTCATACCTATGTGCATAATAGTGTTGAAAAAACTCTGTCCGTATTTAGCAATTGTGTTGAGTTATGGAAAAGTCTGTCCTCTGCTTTGTGTATTTGCTCATTTGGAAATCTTGTATAGTTTATAGAGACAGTAGTGATTTGTTCCCCAGCTTCCCTGTGGATTTTGTTCCATATTACAATCTAATTCCACTACCCTGTCCCATACTCCTGAGCTGTTAATTTGTACATTTTGATGCAGTTTGTTTCATCTTGTGTTTTTGTAATCCAAACTGAATGTAACGAGCTATGTGCTTTAGGGACCTGGCTTTGCCTTGCCAATTAGAACAAAGTGTTACTGAGAAAGAATATGTTTTAAATAAAACATGGCACCTTTGAATGGGACTGACATTCATTTGGGAATAAAAAGATGTAGTTTTAACTCTTTGACTCACAAAGATAGCCAATATTTTGGGGAGAGAAGAAGGCTAAGGGTTTACTTCCATAAATTGGTATTCTACATTGGTACTAGGGCTTTGAACTAAGGGCTTGGGCACTATGCCTGAGCTGTTTTGCTTAAGTCCAGTGTGCTACCACTTGAACCACAGTTCCACTTTCAGCATTTTGGTGGTTAATTGGTGATAAGAGTGTCATGGACTTTCCTGCCTTGGGCTGGCTTTGAACTGCAGTCCACAAACCTCAGCCTCCTAAGTAACTAGGATTACAAGTGTAAGCCACTAACATTTGGATATTCTGAGTGTTTTAACCAGTGTCTGCTGTGATTTTTGAACTGTGTCATTAAGAAAGGTAAGGATATTATGAAATAAGTATTTACACTTTTATTTTTCCAGTATAAAGCCATATTCCCAGTGTAATGGCTATACTCTCTCCCAAAGTATAATTGAAAAGTAGAAAAACTAATGTAATGTTTTGTGATTTTATATGGGTGCCATTTTGTTTGTAGGCTCTGATAACATTTGGAGCCATTGGTGGCCGAAAACTAAAAGCATATGTGTTTTGTTTGTTTTGTGCCAGTCCTGGGGCTTGAACCTAAGGCATGGGAGCTGTCCCTGTGCTTTTCTGCTCAAGGTTAGCACTGTACTATAGCTACCCTTCTGTCTTTTTGATGGTTAATTGGAGATAAGAGTCTCATGGACTTTCCTGCCTGGGCTGGCTTTGAATCTGATCCTCAGATCTCAATCTCCTGAAAAGTAACTTGGATCTATATATAGGCATTAACCACTGACACTGGCTAGCCCAGGAATTTTTGAATAAGCTGATAGTTTACCAATTACCTAGCCCAGGTATTATTGAATAGGCTGATAGTTTACCAATTTGCTACT